TAGTGACACAATGGGATTTTTTGCAGACTTGTCTGTATGAAAAAGATGATGTCTGTTCAGCGCCTTCCAAATCGCCCAGTTTTCTATGTGCCCAGGGGGAGTCTCTCATTTGGTACCAGCCATTTGTTGAGGTTCTGGGTTTGAGCCTGCCACTTTTGGACTCTTGCTTGCTGAGGTGTTCCAGCGAGTGTCTCTGTAGATCTTAGAAAACTGTTTCTTGATTTAAGTTGTTGACGTGCTGGCTGATACCCAAACAAAGGATGAGCTGGAGATGTCACTGCCTTGGTCCTTTCACTATTGGCTGCTACTTCCCGGAAGATGTCAGGTGGTGCAATACCGGCTAAAGAGTGTTATTTCTCCAGTGGTGTAGGGCGCAGACACCCCGTGATAATGCGGCATGTCTCATTAAGAGCCACATCCACTGTTTTAGTGTGGTGAGATTTGTTCCACACTGGGCATGCATACTCAGCAGCAGAGTAGCATACCGCAAAGGCAGATGTCTTCACTATGTCTGGTTGTGATCCCCAGGTTGTGCCAGTCAGCTTTCGTATGATATCGTTTCTAGCACCCACTTTTGCTTGATATTCAGGCATGCTTCTTGTAAGTCAGAGCACAGTCCAGAGTGACTCCCAGATATTTGGGTGCGCTGCAATTCTCCAGTGGGATTCCTTCCCAGGTAATCCTCAGAGCTTGGGATGCTTATCTGTTCTTAAGGTGAAAGGCACATGTCTGTGTTTTAGATGGATTAGGGATCAGCTGGTTTTCCCTGTAATAGGTGGTAAGGGCACCTAGAGCTTCGGAGAGCTTCTGTTCTACCGTCTCAAAGCTCCCTGCTTGAGCAGTAATGGCACAATCGTCAGCATAGATGAAACTCTCTGTCCCTTCTGGCAGTGGCTGGTCATTTGTGTAGATGTTGAACATGGATGGAGCAAGCACGCTCCCCTGAGGCATCATCAAAAGGACTATTGCATTTAGACTGAGGAGAAGTCCTGGTGCCTTTGTATTCTGTTTTGTTTAAGACCTCACCTGGAATACTGTGTCCTGTTCTGGGCACCACAGTTCAAAAGAGATATTGACAAGCTGGAAGGTGCCCAGAGGAAGGTGACTAAAATGATCATGCGTGTGAAGATCAAGCCCTATGAGGAGCATCTTAAAGAACTGGCTATGTTTAGCCTGCAGAAGAGGAGGTTGAGAGGAGACATGATGGCGCTATATAAATATGTGAAAAGATGTCATAATGAAGAGGGAGCAGACTTGTTTTCTGCTGCCCTTGGAACTAGGACTAAGAGCAATGGGTTCAAATTACAGGAAAGGAGATTCCACCTGAACATTAGACAGAACTTCCTGACTGTATGAACTGTTCAACAGTGGAGATCTCTGACTTGGAGTGGAAGCTCCTTCCTTGGACATTTGAAAAAGGAGGCTGGATGGCCATTTGTCAGGGATCCTTTGATTGTGCTTTTCCTGTATGCAGGGGGGGTTGGACTAGATGGCCCATGTGGTCTCTTCCAATTCTATTATTCCATGATTCTTATAGGGGAGAAGTTACTGTGGGATAAAGAATGGAGAAAGGAGTTATTCTGAACCCAAAACTTGCCTACTCCTTCTTCTTTCCATTTAGTTTCCTAAGCTTGTAAAGTGAAAACAGCTGTAACAGAACTTTGTAGGCAGGTATAACGGAGAAAAATGTCACCACCACCCATTAGATACCCCAACTTTAGACTTAATTTTCATATACTGTATATACTCGAGTATAAGCCAATCCGAATATAAGCCGAGGCACCTAATTTTACCACAAAAAACTGAGAAAACGGATTGACTCGAATATAAGCCGAGGGTGGGAAAGGCAGCCGCCACTCGTAAATTGCAAAATAAAAATAGATACCAATTAAATTACATTAATTAAGGAATCAGTAGGTTATATATCTTTGAATATTTAAAAAAATGGTAATTTCAGATAAGACTGTCCAACTCTGATTAAATGATTATTTACCTTCTTCTGTGTAAATGTGCTTACATATCCTTTCAATAATAATAGAGTCACATAATAAATTTAATAATAACAATAATAATAAAAGGAGTAAAATAATGAATGTAACAATAACAATTAAACAGTAAAATAATTAATGTATAATAATAGAGTAAAATGATAAATGCAATAATAATAAATAGAATAAAATAATAAATGTAATGAAAATAATAATAATAATAATAATAATAATAATAATAATAATAATAATAAAATAATAAATAACCTTGACTTGAGTATAAGCCAAGGGAGGCTTTTTCAGCCTAAAAAAGGGGGCTGAAAAACTAGGCTTATACTCGAGTATATACAGTAAGTGATGAATACAGGACTGGGAATTCACATTTTAGCTGTTGAAAAATAAAGAAATGGCAGCCCTATTTTAGTACCAAAAACATGGCTGAGCAAATTCAGATTTCTGAAAGACTTAAGGACTCAAATCTTGATAGCTTGAATAAGTGAACCTGTCAGTTTTGCTTTCTCCAAATGGTGGATCCATTGTGTTGGCGTGGGAAATCCAGCGTTCATTTTGTAGCAGCTTGTTGTTGTTATTATTGCTTGTATTGTTGTGTTTGGGCTCGGCCTCATGTAAGCCGCACCGAGTCCCTTGGGGAGATGGTAGCGGGGTACAAATAAAGTGTTATTATTATATTATTAGCTTGTTTTGCAGCTATCCCAGGCCATAGAATCATAGGTTCATAGAATCATAGTCGGAAGAGACCTCGTGGGTCATCCAGTCCAAAACCCCTGCCAAGAAGCAGGAAAATCGCATTCAAAGCACCCCCGACAGATGGTCATCCAGCCTCTGTTTTAAAGCCTCCAAAGAAGGAGCCTCAACCATATGGAGCTCTCCTGGGGCCAACTCTCTGTTGGGAATGGGCATCCAATGCCTGGATGACTGGCACAAACTGGAACAGCTGCAGGACTATTTGGAAAGAAAAGAGTAGATTCATCACTCTCACAGCCATTGCTGTTTGTGAGGTTATTTTAAACCTTCTCCCTCCTAATCTAAAGCAAACCTAGAAGGGATATAGGCTGCAGGTTCGTGAGGCGAGAAGCCCTAGATGGGCATGGGAGATACTTAACACATATATGCTAGCAAATGTTATTTCTTACTGTGCAGGTACAGCTGTACCAGGAGCTCCAATTTTGTTTGCTTTGCATTGAATATTTGTTGTAGTCCTAAGTTTCAGGGACTCTGCAGATAGGCGGCTTATTTTGGCTGCAATCATAGGGCAAGCCACCTGTCAATTATCGTTAGGTTCACTGGTCCTGCCCCCTTTTTAGGTTTTGGAGGGAATAGGAGCCAATTTGGGTTCAGTCCATACAGAGAAGCCTTTCATGCAGGACATAATACCAAGAGATCCTGTAGAAAGCTTCATCTTCTACGGCTTGGCCGGGGAGATATACAGCCCACAGCTTGGCCGGGGTTATACAGCCCTGCAGCTCCTTTGCTGAAGGACTTCAGTCAGCCATCACGGAAACCTGAATTCTTTTCCCCCTGGAAGTCTACAAAGCTCTGCTTGGTAAGGGTCACTCGCAGAAGCCAGAAGCAGTTGGTACTGGGTGCAGGGGCTCCACGCCAACAGAGGCAAAGAAAGACTGCCCAGATTAGAAGCTAAGGACTTCCCCATTAGTTACAGTTATGAAGATAATGCCTGTTCCCTGTGGACAAGATTGAGGGAGAGACAATAGACTGTTAAGAAAGCCTTAAAGTACCTGTTTGTTTTCATTAATAAAGAACACTGTTGAACCTTTAAGCAATCTAAAGACTCTGTTTTAAGGAAATCCAAGGGCCTTTAATCTGAGGCAGCCCCGGCGTCCCGTTGGGCACACGGAATTTGTCCTGTCTACAGTCTTATGCACAGGCCCAGCGTGTGACAGCACACTTGCTGAAGTCCTGCAGCTTTATTTCTCACTTTTGCTCCACTGAGATCAAGGCACCATGCATGGTTTCCCCTTGTTCCCATTTCATCCTCACAACAGCGCTATGAGGGAGGCTAGGCTGAGACTATGTGAACAGCCCAAGGTCACACAGTGAATTTTATGACACAGTGGGGGTTAGAATCTTGCTCTCTTAAATTCCAGAACAACATTGTAATTTTTGATATCACAGTTTTCATTTTTTATTCAATTGTCATTCTTTCCTTATAAAGACAGTGGGATCTTGGTATCCACTATGATGTGGTTCCAAGCTCCCCATGGATACCAAAAATTTATGGATGTTCAAGTCCTATTTTATACAATGGCATCATAAAATGGTATCCCTTACATAAATTTGCAAAATCAAGGTTTGCTTGTGGATTTAAAAAAAAAATCAAGCTATGGATGGTTGACTCCATGGATATGGAGGGTCAACAGTGTAAACACACATATTCACATTATCAGAACAAATGTAGGTTAGGGAATAGATCAAGAAAATATGCTCAGAGTTTTCTTAGAAGAGATGAGTTTCACCTTACAACTCCACTGACAGACTAGACCAGGGGTCCTCAAACTTTTTAAAACAGAGGGCCAGGTCACAGTCCCTCAAACTGCTGGAGGGCCGGATTATAATTTGAAAAAAAATGAATGAATTCCTATTCACACTGCACATATCTTATTTGTAGTGCAAAAAAACCCCCACTTAAAATAATACAATAATTAAAATGAACAACAATTTTAACAAGTATAAACTTATTAGTATTTCAATGGGAAGTGTGGGCCTCCTTTTGGGTGATGAGATAGGATTGTTGTTGTTGTTGTCTGCTTTCAAGTTGTTTCAGACTTAGGTTGACCCTGAGCGAGGGCTGGGTAAATGACCTTGGAGGGCTGTATCCAGGCCCCCAGGCCTTAGTTTGAGGACCCCTGGACTACTGTTCCCTGATCTCTAGGAAAGCAAGGTGAAGGCTATTGAGTTCGGTTCCTCTTTCATTACAGCCAAAATTAATCACTTCTAGCTGTAAAGGAGCAGTCATTTTACACTACATACAGCTTTTATTTCTATTTTAATATGAAAATTGTTGAAGAAATCAATTTATCTTTTTTGCATGTTTTCATTTAAAAATATATTGTCAGCATGCAATCCTTATAGTAGTGATTATGATAATAATGAATACTTCTTTCATTAATTCAGTCTGACACAGCCAGACGTCAGTCTAATAGTCCAATTACCAACATGTTTTTTTTAAAAATCTTTAATTATGTACAGGTCCAGGAGAAATTATAGCCCTCCCAGTGCTATTGGATAGCAATTCCCATCAGCCCTGAGAATGCTGGGAATTGCAATCAGCAACATCCAGAGAGGCACATTTTGCCAATCTTGAGCTAGATCATTCTAGGCAAATGGTTAAATTGCCCTAAAATGTAAGAGGAAAATGCCTTCTGTGAAAATTCTTTAGTAAAGTGAATCATGATAAGTTTAAATCAAACATGGCCAACATCAAGCAAGATCTGAGGCAAAATGTCTTCTTTGATTATATCTGGAAGAAAGAATTCCACGATCTTCTGAAATTCTTCCACGGCTCAATATTATTACATTCAGTCCAGCCAAGAAAGACGTAATTGTAAACCAGCTGGCTTTGTGTTCACTGAATGTGAAATTTCCATTGTCAGATTGGCAAAAGGAATTCTTTCTTTTCATTCACTTGCACTTCAGTGCAGTTGTCACATTTAAAATGGTTCTCCAGAGAGGTCATTTGCCACAGAGCCAAGCCTGAATTTCGGGGGTATATTCTGCTAGCGTCCATAGTCGATGACCGAGTCAGGTAATGCATCACATTTTTAATAAAAAAAAGTTGCACAAAACTGCTTCTACTTAATCCTGTTGGATAAATACACTATAGATTTTGTGTCGGCCCACGCTAAGTCAGTAGGATTGAAGTGTTTCCATTCAGGCAAGTTGCTGCTCCAGCATTTCCTCCTAGTTGTCAGAATCAAACATTCAGAATGTAGTGGACAGGAAATATGTCAGAACTGAATGGGCCATTAGATAATGCCGATCCCTTCAAAAATGGTCCAGGGAGGAAACAACTGAAGATCAAGAATAAAAGATCTGAGTTCACAGGCATTCAGCAGGGATGGAATCTTCCAGAGGAATGGAAGCACACGCCTTTTCATCGGTATCACAATTGTTGGGTGGAAGGCTGATATTGTTAGGCTCACAAGGGCAGCAGGCAACTCCTCCTTTCCGGCTGTTTGACTGATACTGTAGGGAGGCATGAAAGTCTAATGACAATACTGCAAGACGGTACAGCTGTAACATCACACTTAAGATATTCTTAGCTGTGAAAAACACCAGCATCTGGGTAATGACGTTAAAGTAACCCATCAGGATCAAGCGCACAACGAGGAAAGGGCCATCTTGGATGAATAAGCTGATGCCAATGTTCCAGAGGTCTGCGCTGTGTCTGCAGAGCAGCAAACGGAAGACTTTCTTGGAGGAGTTGGAGGGGCCACACCCTACATGTTGCACTGCAAATGAAGAAGGATATTTTTTTTAATGTGGTTTTGTTTTACTGTAATGCCATCAACCAAGTGAATCAGGTCCTAAACTGAAGGACAGAACCAGTTGTATGAGGATTCAATTGTTTTTGATTTAATTGTTATTCAATCAGATTCAGATCATATTTGTGTCTTAAAAGTATAAACATAGTTAGTCCTGCACAATATATCTACTACATAATTAAGACCTGTTAGCAGTTAGCAGGTCATGACCTATAAAGCCCTAAACAGTTAGGGCCCCACCTATCTCCGTGATCGCATCTGCTTCTATGAACCAGCACGAGCTCTAAGATCTTCTGGGGAGGCCCTCCTCTCGGTCCCACTACCGTCTCACGTGTGGTTGGTGGGGACGGGAGAGAGGGCCTTCTCAGTGGTGGCCCCCCGCCTCTGGAATGCCCTTCCAAGTGAAATAAGACAGGCCCCATCTCTCCCATGCTTTAGTAAAAGCTTGAAGACCTGGTGGTTTCAACAAGCCTTTGAAAATGACCAGTTCTAACTCAGCCCTACACATTGTCGAATGTGGCCTTATTCTTCCTAGCAATTGCCCAGATCATTTCCTCTAATTGGCGCCAGAATGAACAGCCGCAGATCCGTACCTAATATTATTGTTGCCTGCCATAGCATTGCACTTAATTCCCGGGGCCCCTAGAATTTTTGGGCTTGCACAAATCTTGGCCCGGCCTTTTAAAAAATTTTTTAATTGCCTTGAACAGGCAGGATTCTTTTAATATATGTGTTTTCTGGCGACAATTTTTATGTTTATATTTTGTTTTGTTAATCTTATGGTTATGTTGTTTTTTTTACTTTGTATGTTTTGTGATGTTACCTGTGAACCGCTCTGAGTCCCCTTGGGGAGATGGAGCGGTATATAAATAAAGTTTTTATTATTATTATTATTATTATTAATGGCAAACCTCTATTTTTAAAGGGGTTTTCATTCCTTGATTGTGCTATCCCTATGACTGTGAGATGATCTTGGAACCTGTGTGAACATATTCATTGCCATTTCTCTCACCTGGCCTTGCCACGGAACTCCAAACTAAGAGGAACAGTGCCCAAGCAAGATTTTCTTCTGTCTAAGACAAAGTACAAGAAAGATTTCCCTCCCCAGCCCATAAGCTGAAGCTGACTGGATTGGCAAGTGAATCCCCCACAATTGAGGTATGAGGCTAGTTTAGGGACATACATAATAATGTCCCCTGACAGATGTGAATGACTGGAAAATGTATGAGCAACAGCTGGAAGAAGGCTGCCACTGCTGCTCTGACATCTGCTGCCCGAGGCAGTTGCTTCACTCTACCTAGGGGCATGAGCAGCCTTGTAGCAAATTATTGTTGTTGTCGCTTCTTTTTTCAGGTTGTCTTGTCTTTATGTTAGGGAGTAAACTATGACTCAAAAGGGTGGTGAGCTGAGAATGCCTTCATTAAAAGAAAAGACTGGATACAAGGCAAGGAAGGCCAACACAATATCATTGTGTAAGTGATGAAAACATCTCAAAATGAACAATTCCAAAAAGAGGTTCCCCAAGTATACTCTGTATTAATTGGCCCATAGCCAGGATTTTGATTCGGGGGGGAGGGGGCTGAGTTTGATTCGGGGGGGGGGGGGGGCTGAGTCTGAGTGAAAGAGGGTCTACCCTAGCAAACCTTTTGTATCGTTACCCCAATACCCCCATGCATATGAGATATATTGAGCATGGTGATCAGATCATGATATGAATAAACATAACAGTTTAAATAATGTACCAGTAAGGTCTTTTCGCAGACCACCATGAGAATTTGGGGGGGGGGGTGAAGCCCCCCAAGCCCCCCCCCCCCCCCCGGCTACATGTCTGCCTCATTAGATCCAGATCTTAATGAAAAATCCAGATCTAATGAGGTACTGGACCTATGGGAACTGACTACCTGGACTGCTTCCACAGTCCTTGGGGTCAGTCCCCACAGGTATCCTGCTTCTTTGGACTTTGAAATGCACAGAGGAGTGGAATGGCGCCCACCTCTCCCTGCTCTCCAAGCCCTCTAAAACTTACTGAAAAGGATCCCAGGCAGACATTAAGCCTCTCCTCGCATCATCCTGAATGGAAGAAATGACTTGTGAGGAGATGTGGGGGGGAGGGATGTGGTGTCATCAGGATAATATGTAGTCACCCCTGAGGGAAGTCCAGTGTTTGGCTTGAGGGGTGGGGGCTGGAATCCACTAGGCATGTGCAATCCATGGTTCTAAATGGTTCTAAAGTAATTACAAAACTAAAGTTCTGGTGGTGAAAACTAGAGGGTGCTGGTGCTTTGCTTCTACAGTGTTGCTAAAGTTCTGGTGGTGAAACTTTCAGAACTCTAACACAACTTTCAAAATTTCATTATAAATGGCAGTTCCTAATAGTTTCTGTCATAAAAAAATCACCAATAATGAAATAATAATGAAATTTTGAAAGTTTTGTTAGAGTTCTGAAATTTTCACCACCAGAACTTTAGCAACACTGTAGAAGCAAAGCACCAGCGCCCCCTAGTTTTCACAACCAGAACTTTAGTTTTGTAAGTACTTTAGAACCATTCAGAACCATGGATTGCACATGCCTAGAATCCACACTGAAGTGGGTTACTTTAACCTATTTTGGTGAAAGTTTTAGGTCTGTCTGGAAGCGCCCTTTGAAGTCTGCCACCAAAGTTTATCATACAGTAACTCCTTTCAGATAACACAGTTATACATATGTTGTACTGACACACAGTAATGAAAATTATTCCAAAACTCCCAGAAATTGTCTAGAGCTTTGACAGCTGTGAGCCCTGACTCCATTTATGAACAGTGGTCTCAGTCCTTGAGTCGATGGTTTATGTTTGTCCTGATGGTTTGTTTGTTTTGCCCTGCTCACAATCCCACCTGCGTCACAAGCGCGATTGGTGGGGACGAGGGACAGGGCCTTCTCTGTGGTGGCCCCTCGACTCTGGAACTCTCTCCCCAAGGACATCAGACAAGCCCCAACATTGGCAGTCTTTAGGAAGAGCTTGAAGACGTGGTTGTTCCAGTGTGCCTTCCCAGAATAGGAAACTCCAAGCATCATGTCCCAAATGCACTTTACTAGAGATTTAAGATTGTCTGCACACTGCACCTATTGCCAAACTCATCCATTTTACCTGGTCATGTCCAGCATTTTTTAAAAATTTTTAATCATTATATTTGGCCCAGCCATAGTTTTTAATTGCGCCGTGGTGTTATTATTTAATGTTTATTGCTATTGTTTAATGTTTATTGTTTTGTTTTATGAGTTTATTTATTGTTGTATTTGTTATGTTGTTGTTTTGCTGATGTATTTGGCCTCGGCCTCTTGTAAGCCGCACCGAGTCCTTCGGGAGATGTTAGCGGGGTATAAATAAAGGTTTATTATTATTATTATTATTATTGGATGTGGGTTGTTGTTTTGTTGTTCATTCGTTCAGTCGTCTCCGACTCTTCGTGACCTCATGGACCAGCCCATGCCAGAGCTCCCTGTCGGCTGTCACCACCCCCAGCTCCTTCAAGGTCAGTCCAGTCACTTCAAGGATGCCATCCATCCATCTTGCCCTTGGTCGGCCCCTCTTCCTTTTACCTTCCACTTTCCCCAGCATAATTGTCTTCTCTAGGCTTTGCTGTCTCCTCATGATGTGGCCAAAGTACTTCAACTTTGTTTCTAGTATCCTTCCCTCCAATGAGCAGTCGGGCTTTATTTCCTGGAGGATGGACTGGTTGGATCTTCTCACAGTCCAAGGCACTCTCAGAACTTTCCTCCAACACCACAGTTCAAAAGCATCTATCTTCCTTCGCTCAGCCTCCCCTAAGGTCCAGCTCTCACATCCGTAGGTTACTACAGGGAATACCATGGCTTTGACTAGGCGGATCTTTGTTGCCAGTGTGATGTCTCTACTCTTTACTATTTTATCGAGACTGGACATTGCTCTCCTCCCAAGAAGTAAGCGTCTTCTGATTTCCTGGCCACAGTCTGCATCTGCAGTAATCTTTGCGCCTAGAAATACAAAGTCTGTCACGGCCTCCACATTTTCTCCCTCTATTTTCCACTTGTCAATCATTCTTGTTGCCATAATCTTGGTTTTTTTTGATGTTTAGCTGCAACCCAGCTTTTGCGCTTTCTTCTTTCACCTTGATTAGAAGGCTCCTCAGCTCCTCCTCGCTTTCGGCTATCAGAGTGGTGTCATCTGCATATCTGAGGTTGTTAATGTTTCTTCCAGCAATTTTCACCCCAGCTTTGCATTCATCAAGCCCCGCACATACATTATTATTATTATTATTATTATTATTATTATTATTATTATTATTATTATTATTATTATCTCTGATGCTGACAACTAAAGAAAAATAGTCTTATAGCCGACATCACTGAATACGGTATTTGATTCTCATTTGGTATCACTTGAGCATTTAAAAATACTTTAAAATGAGTAGAGAGAACCTTCACATTCTTTGGTAAAGTTAGTCTGTTTCAACTGAACTGAGAGATATTAGCAGAAATATGAACAGGCATTAGCACGCCTTGGCTATCTACAAGCATATGCTAGTTCTCATTACTGTTGCATTGTTACAAAAGAATCCTCCCTAGACAAGTATTTTATTTCAAGGAAACTAACTTTAGGGTAAGCACAGGATATTGTTTCGACGTCTCAGTATTAACAGGCCAGCTGCTTGACAGATCCGTATCATCTTACACAAACATTTCAAGGTTTATAGCTGGTGTCAGAACTTGTATCGTTTTGTATTTTGTTGTATTCTGATCCCGTCACCACACATTTTAAAAGTGTAGCTTGAATATTGTACAGCATCGGAAGAAAAAATCTCAAAAGCTCACGCTAAAATTGATCAGTTAATCATAGTCCTCTCTGCATTCTCCCCATCCCCTTTTTTGGTGAAATACTATACATTACTAACCTGCAAGATCCAGGGGAAATTGCAGCATGCTCCAAGTCCATACTGCTAGAATTGCATATACAAGAACATGGTTGTTCCTGGAACAAGGAAAAAATGAGTAACATTTATTTTGGGAAGCCATTATATTAAAGTGATATGAAATCCAGCTGGCAGGGTATGCAACGTCTTAAGTTTCAATCTAATAATGGAAAGAAACAATCTTGAGTTTAAATTTATGGAATCTAGGTATGGATATAATCTCAAGAACATTTCACAAGACCAAATAATAGGTTTTTAATGTTTTTTAAAAATAAAAAGCTTGTAACCATCTTAGGAAGTTCTATTAACAAAACCAGGCCCATGTGTCTGATTGGGATTTTGTAGCAACGGTATATTATTACATTCCTGAGTGGCAAATTAACGGAATACTTCCCAGATTTTATGCTCAGACAATGGAGGGATAGCCAGCCAATATTGTGCATTCAATCTATGGTCCAATTTTCCATCCTTTATCCCTCTTCTTAACTTTTCTCAAGGTAAAGTGCTGGCCAGGAAATCTTGCTTATATCTCCAGTAAGAAAATAATTCAAAAGCAAATAGATCAAGATCTGAAATTTTTTTTTAAAATGTTGGTCAGTACTTTTTTTTTGTTGTGTCAGGAGCAACTTGAGAAACTGCAAGTCACTTCTGGTGTGTGAGAATTGGCCGTCTGCAAGGACGTTGCCCAGGGGACACCTGGATGATTTGATGTTTTTATCATCCTTATGGAAGGCTTCTCTCATGTCCCCGCATGAAGAGCTAGAGCTGATAGAGGGAGCTCATCCACCACTCCCCGGATTCGAACCTGCGACCTGTCGGTCTTTAGTCCTGCCGGCACAGGGGTTCAACCCACTGCGCCACCGGGGGCTCCAGGTCAATACTTTTTTTTAAATAGTTTTTATTGAAGTATTATAAGTTACAGCAAAAGTGGGAGAATATTTTCAAGAGGATAGAAAAGTAGGAAAATTGTGGAAGCAAAAAGAGAGTAATGAACAATTGTAAAAAGCACAAAGAAAAAACTTAAAAAAATTATATATGTGTGTGTGTGTCTGAAAAATACACACACAAAAAACCACACTCAAAAAGTGGACTTCCTGCTAATTCTGCCCGTATAGTCTCTATTTGTCTTTATTTTTGTATATTCAGTCTTGTACTTCTTAATTATAAGCATAGTCCAGTTATAGATCTTTGTACCTATTTTCAATATAATCCTCAATTATTGACCAATTTGTTGAGGATTATATTGAAATTATATGGTCAATACTTGAGTTTTTTTCAATGTAAGGAGTCCATTAGTGCTCACTGTTTGTCACTTTAATAGTGATGCATGTGCCACCTAGTTACTTCATTATTATTTATAAAAATACATTTTAAAAATGTCCTAAAATTACAAAAACAAATCCAGTATTAACCCACAATTATTATTTTTAAAATTAACAAATAATTTTTATCAGTTTCATTTATTTGTTTAATTTAAATCTCGTGTTTCTCCTAATATTGGATCCAAGGCTGTTTGTCACTCAGATTAATAATAATAATTGTAAACAATAATTCAATAAACTTAATCATATTAAAAGTGAAAATGAATTAAAGTCATTTCAAGCATAACAGATAAAGGAAAGATAAAGAATGAAGCAAACCTCAATTACAAAAATCATCTTCATTAAAAAAAAATTAGCCATCACTGTAATATTTTGCTGAAGGGCAGTCTTGATGCCCTCAATATTCCACAAAGCAATGTTGTACTGGTAATGTCATTATTTGTAAAATGATATTCCCAGTTCCCAAACCATGAAGTAAGTGGCAAGGACATCAATGGGATATTTGCGGGGAGGGATGTCTTACAAACAAATGTTTTCTTTTAAAAGTTTTTATACATTTTATCCAGTATGCTCTCAAACATGTCCTCTTTAATTGCAAGTCTGTGAATCTAGGTAAGTGTCCCACCAAAATCAGCTTCAGGACATTGACTAAAATATAATATGGAAAGAAACACTGATGCAGCTAGAGACATAGATATAGACAAAGAGAGAGCAAGAGAACGCAAGTCTTGTTGACCTCATCACATTAGGAAATTGTTTTTGAGAAAGTTTGAGAATGATTCCAAATGGGTCCCATCCCATGACATTTGCCTCATCCTGTCAATATTCACTTCACTTCACTTCACTTCACTTCACTTTATTTCTTAATTAGTCGCTCTCCACCGAGATGCTCCGAGCGACTTACAATCTAAAATAGCAGATGTGAAGGAAAATTGGATTAAAATGTTTCACAGGTGGTATACCACTCCAAAAAACATGGGTCACATGTATAAAAATATTTCCGACAAATGTTGGAAAGGCTGCGAACAAGTAGGTACATTCTATCATATGTGGTGGACTTGTAAGGAAACTACAAAATATTGGAGGAGACACAAATTTTTTTGAAAAGGACATTTAAAACGAAACCTGAATATTACTTGCTAGGCTTTACAGATCTGGAGTTACAGCTTAATGAAAATGAAGACAAACTTTTCACATATGTTACGACGGCAGCAAGAATTATTCTTGCGAAATTTTGGAAACAGGAAAAAATTCCAGCCCTTGATGAGTGCTGGATAAGGTAAGAGAGATAAGAGATATGGACAAATTAACTTTTTTATTAAAAAAGAATACCGGGAAATCGATAAAGAGGACTGATTAGGGCCTCTTTCATGACTATGACAAACACAGAAGAGAACAAGAGAAAATGAAGTTTTGAATAAGAATTAGAAAATAAATGAGAGAAAGAATCTGAGGATGGCATGGAAGTCAACCTTTTTTTTCTATCTCTCTTTTTTCTGTTTTTGTTATATATTCACTTCACTTCACTTCACTTTATTTCTTAATTAGTCGCTCTCCACCAAGGTGCTCCGAGCGACTTACAGTCTAAAATAGCATTTACACAATATAAAAACATTCAACATAAAAATATTCAACAGTGACTATTTGGCAAATTAGATCTGATTACTTAAATGCACAACCAAACAGCCAAGTCTTGAGTGCCTTTACAAAAGGTCACAACTCCGACATTGCTCTAATATATGGAGGCAATGAGTTCCACAGAATTGCAGCATAGACTTGGAGCATAGAATTGGAGCATAGACTCCGAGGTGGGACGTAGAGGGAGATCCGTTTGGACAGCACACTGGGCCGGAACTGTATAGGGTTTTGTAGGTCAAAACCAGCACTTTGAATTGTGCTCGGAATTGGATCCACTTTCCCCAGCATAATTGTCTTCTTTAGGCTTTGCTGTCTCCTCATGATGTGGCCAAAGTACTTCAACTTTGTCTCTAGTATCCTTCCCTCCAATGAGCAGCCGGGCTTTATTTCCTGGAGGATGGACTGGTTGGATCTTCTCGCAGTCCAAGGCACTCTCAGAACTTTCCTCCAACACCACAGCTCAAAAGGATCGATCTTCCTTCGCTCAGCCTTCCCTATGGTCCAGCTCTCACATCCGTAGGTGACTACAGGGAATACCATTGCTTTGACTATGCGGATCTTTGTTGCCAGTGTGATGTCTCTACTCTTTACTATTTTATCGAGATTGGACATTGCTATAAGTAATTCTGGACTGAAAATTCTGCCAAGTAGTATTACTGCTGAAACAAGCAGTTTGGAGCCTTTCTTATTTAACTATAGAAAAAAATATTTTGATTAAATACTCAATTATAGATACCACTTATTGTGTTCTATAATATTCCGATATTCACACTTCTGTTATGTGTGGACAGTACTGGTGCTAGTGACTGAATTTCTTAAGTCAGGCAGATGTCACAACAGCCAGAGAGAGAAAGAAGGCAATAAGACTCAAGGGTTCAAATTTGTACACAAGCAGATAGATTGTTCTTGCAACATTTTTTTAACTTACTGCTCGCAAAAGGCTTTTAAAATGACGTTATGAATTACAAGTTGCCCACCCTGCCTTAAAAGGTTCCGCTCTTCACTAAAAAAGAGAGCAATGATGCTACCAGTTACTTTAGCATTTTGTTCAAAGTTAGTCCTTGTGCCCCTATTATTCCCAAAAGCAACATGTTCGAGTTAGTCGCCTTATTTGGAAATCCCACTGGCACTAAAGGAACAAGCTAGTTGAGATTTACTTCAAAGTACCATTGCTTTTCAATGGTATTTAGGAAGATTGATGTGATTTTATTTCTGTTTATTCAGCTTGATTGCTTTCATTTTCAACAAGCGCTTGTGAGTATTACATTTAAATTCCTACTTGGACAAATACTGCCTCTTCCCATTTAGCCACTGAAATGTTTCAAGTGAAGTTCTCCAGAGACTGGCATGGACCAAGATCTAGAACAGGGGTCCTCAAACTTTTTAAACAGAGGGCCAGGTCACACTCCCTCAAACTGTTGGAGGGCCAGATTATAATCTATATAAATAAAAATGTAATGTTAGTTTGTGGGATTAACAGAACTCAAAAACCACTGGACGAATTGTCACCAAATTTGGATACAAGACACCTATCAGGCCAACTTAGTGACCATCACTCATAAAAACACCAAAAAACACAGCGGAAGGAACTAAAAAAGCCAATAAACAAAAATTACATTAATAGTAATAATAATAATAATAATAATAATAATAATAATAATAATAATAATAATAAACTTTATTTATACCCCGCCACCATCTCCCCAAAGGGGACTCGCCAAGCCCAATGATACATTACAGCAATATAAAATATAAACAACAAAATAACATCACAGTTAAAATAAATAGACCAATCAAGTAAATAAACAGTACAAAATAACATAATGGAATCAAACACAGTGGGCGGGCCAAATACACTCTGGATGAGATAGAAATGAAAAGGGTACATTGTGGGGGAGGAGTTCGTGGGGACTGAACAACGCATGCGCAGAAGCACACACATATATGCAAACACACATATATACACAAATATACAGACACACATATAGGCTCACAAAACACATATACACAGACTGGGCCACAGCAACGTGTGGCAGGGGATGGCTAGTTTGAAAAAAGTGAATGAATTTCTATTCACACTACACATATATTATTTGTAGTGCAAAACCACTTAAAACAATACAATAATTAAAATGAAGAAGAATTCTAACAAATATAAACTTATTAGTATTTCAATAGGAAGTGTGGGTCTGCTTTTGGCTGGTGAGATAGGATTGTTGTTGTATGCTTTCAAGTAGTTTCAGACTTAGGTTGATCCTGAGCAAGGGCCGGGTAAATGACCTTGAAGGGCCGTATATGGCCCCCAGGCCTTAGTTTGAGGACCCCTGATCTAGAATAACTGGAATGCTTTCTTTTTTTTACCTACCTTACATTCTCTATTTCCAATGTCTCACTAGTGAATTCAAGTAAATCTGCCGCAGTACCCACAAACATAAGAAGCAGTTGTGACAACTGGTCCCGGGTAATTTCACCACCAATGGGAAGCAGCCATCGCCCAATAATTAAGAGCAGTAGAAAAGTCTGATGGAGTCCCAAGGTCCAGACTGGATCACATACTGCGGAGAGGGTGTTCACAAGATCCAGGGCCTATTTCCAAGAGCAACCAAAAAAAAAAAAAAAATCAAGCATCAGTACAGGAACTGATAGAAGAGACAGATAAAATGTTTTCAGAGCTTTAAGAACCAAGCTGCGGGGCTCATCTGGACATTCCATGGAAAACTAACCAAAGGGAACTTGCTGGCCATCCTCCATTTAAGGCCAGTTCACAAGATTTCTCAATAATAATAATAATAATAATAATAATAATAATAATAATAATAATGGGTTGTAGGTTTTTTCGGGCTATATGGCCATGTTCTAGAGGCATTCTCTCCTGACGTTTCACCTGCATCTATGGCAAGCATCCTCAGAGGTAGTGAGGTATGTTGGAACTAGGAAAATGGGTTTATATATCTGTGGAATGACCAGGGTGGGACAAAGAACTCTTGTCTGCTGGAGCTAGGTGTGAATGTTTCATCTGACCACCTTGATTAGCATTTGATGGCCTGGCAGTTTTTTTTGGTGTGGCTTGTTAGTGCCTGGGGGAATCTTTTGTTGAGAGGTGATTAGCTGTGGGAACAGATGTGGAACAGGAAATTAAAGTATACTTATGCAACAGACTTGAAGGAAAATTGGATTAAAATGTTCCACAGGTGGTATACCGCTCCAAAAAACATGGGTCACATGTATAAAAATATTTCCGACAAATGTTGGAAAGGCTGCGAACAAGTAGGTACATTCTATCATATGTGGTGGACTTGTAAGGAAACTACAAAATATTGGAGGAGACACAAATTTTTTTGAAAAGGACATTTAAAACGAAACCTGAATATTACTTGCTAGGCTTTACAGATCTGGAGTTACAGCTTAATGAAAATGAAAACAAACTTTTCACATATGTTACAATGACTGCAAGAATTACTTTTGCGAAATTTTGGAAACAGGAAAAAATTCCAGCCCTTGATGAGTGGCTGGATAAGGAAAGAGAGATAAGAGATATGGACAAATTAACTTTTTTATTAAAAAAGAATACCGGGAAATTGATAAAGAGGACTGATTGGGGCCTCTTTCATGACTATGACAAACACAGAAGAGAACAAGAGAAAATGAAGTTTTGAATAAGAATTAGAAAATAAATGAGAGAAAGAATCTGAGGATGGCATGGAAGTCAAACTTTTTTTCCTATCTCTCTTTTTTCTGTTTTTGTTATATATTCACTTCACTTCACTTTATTTCTTAATTAGTCGCTCTCCACCAAGGTGCTCCGAGCGACTTACAGTCTAAAATAGCATTTACACAATATAAAAACATTCAACATAAAATATTCAACAGTGGCTATTTGGCAAATTACATCTGATCACTTAAATGCACAACCAATCAGCCACGTCTTGAGTGCCTTTACAAAAGGTCGCAACTCCGACATTGCTCTAATATATGGAGGCAATGAGTTCCACAGAATTGGAGCATAGGTCGGAAAAGCTCTACGCTTCCAGGTGTACCTCCCTAGGGCCCGGTATGTATAGGAGATTTTCCTGGGTGGATCGAGGTGACCACTGATGGAGAAAAGGAAGGAGGCAGTCCCTAAAATATTAAGGTCTTTGGCCATTTTGAGCTCTAAATGTCAGGATCAGTATCTTGTAAGAGATCCGATGTTCTATTGGTAGCCAATGCAGTTGTTGCAGAATCGGTGTAATATGGGATCTTATAGATGATCCCGCTAGCAGCCTGGCCGCTGCATTTTGGACCATCCGAATCTTCTGGGTTGTTGACTTCGGAAGGCCGGCATATAAGACGTTGCAATAGTCCAACCTCGTGGTGAACTATATTACTATTATTCCTACTTTTCTATCTCCTTCTAAATATTCCCCCTCTTTCCATGTAACTATACACAACCATAATAATTTTTTTTTTAAAAAAAATGTAACTATTCTGACTTACATACATATTTAACTGAAGAACAAACCTACAGAAACTATCTTGTTCATCACATGGGAACTATCTGTACTAAGCAGGGTCTGGAATCCTTTGGATATTTAGATTACATTATCCAGAGTTTAATATTCCTTCAGTGTATTTAAAAAATTAGATGCCCCCAATTCTATCTCTGAAGTATGCTTAAATGTATTTGCCTTTCCAATTCAAGTAATACACATAACGCTGTAGTCAGTGTACAATTTTATGTACATCTTAAAATTTTTAATGCCTGGTATTGCATTGCTTTTTAAAGTAATTACCAATAAACACATGTGCTATGGGAAATATGGTTTGGGGGTCAATCCAAAACCCTATAATTACATGCAGCTTGGACTAAGCTATTGAGTTTCCATTTGTCTGTATTTTTCTGAGTCAACTGTCCTTTTTAATCAATTTGTACATTGGATTCACAGGTGGCAGGTTTTGCTTCCTGTCCACTGAAAGGCATAAGTACAGTGTGGTGCGCATATACATGGGGAGTGGATTCTTTGTAGTCAGAAACACTGAGAGCTAAAGCTCTGAATCTGAAAGCTTCTGGTTTATAGACCTGTCCGCTGCTTTTATAGACCTGTC